TCAACTTTCTTAAGATTATATTTGTTTAGCTTTATGTCTCAAAATTTTAGCTTAGGTTTTGAAAAAGTCTTCAAAGTTTTTATCTTCAGGTTAAAAAGTGTTTTGTTAAAGTAGGTTTATTTTGACTTTGGCTTTAAAGTGTTTCATTGAATTTTTTTGAAAGAGATTTTGATTTGGTTGATTTTATTTTTCAAGGTTTTCAAAAGATCTTGTTTTATAATTTTGTTTTTATTCAAAATTTATTTTCTTTAAAATTGTTATCATTTGAAAATTTTAAATTCAATAAAGAAAATGCTATTCTCAAAGAGGATGTTAAAGTTTTTATTAAGTTTTTTTTATTAATGTTATTATTATAATTATTTTTTTTAAAAAAAATCATTTTGAAGATTTTTTTGTTAGATCTAATTTTGGAAATCTCCCTTAAAGTCTTAAAGAGGTTCTCTTGAGCTTGCTCAACCTAAAGGTGATCACTATTGGAGTATTTTTTAGTTCAGGTAGGCTTTTATAAAAATATCATTTTAGAAGAAAATTCAGCTTGCATATTTTTAATAAAAATATCATATAAAGAACTTTTAGTTAGTACATTTTTTAGAATATTTATATTATATGTTTTTTTATAATAATACCTTTTTAAGCATATGTAATTTATATATATACATATTGTTCTATAAAAATAATCATTTTTATCACATTGAATTTGTATACCTTTATAAAAATATTATTTTATTGATGAGTTATTATTACATAAGCTTTTTCATCTTCTTTTCTATACTTAGCCAAAGGAATTAAACCCTTATCAATCACGTAAGTGTCATCCACACATTTTATATCATCCTAAGGTTACAACTTGCATGGGCTTGAATAATCAAAGACATTCATATTGCATGTGCTTGGAAAAGCATAAACATCCAACATGCATTTAGCCATGAAAATATAAGGCATCCAACTTGCATTTGACCATGAAAAATATAAGACATCCAACTTGCATGTGCAACAAAAAATATAAGACATCGAACCTGCATTTGGTTAGAAACTATTTAACTAGCCTAGAAAACTATTGTCTAATGCATGAATCTAAGCATGTGAAGTTGCACATTATATTTGTATGAAACATTAGAACTGAACAAAAACTTAGTCCTTTTTTATTCTGAAAACATGGATCTAAGCATGTGCTGTGTTTTTTTCTCCATTTATTCTTTTTATTTGTTTGTGTGAAACATAGACCTAACAAATGAATTTTATCTTAACATGAAATATAGAGTTTTTGAACATGAATTTTTTGTCTAAACATGAAATATAGACATATCACATGGAGTTTCTAACTTGAAACATAGTATTTTGAGCATGGATTTGCTAACATGAAACAGAGGGTTCTAAACTTGATTTTTTTTTCTTAATAAGAAACATATGGCTAAACACATTTTTTAACATGAAACATAGAGCTAAGCACATCAATTTAAAATGAATATGAGATTAAACAAAGATATTTTTAGCATGCAAGAGACATAAAACTACCACATGATTGATTAAGTTTTCCATTGTATAAACACATGGTACATGAATAACCACATGACAACATGGATTTTGCATTATATTATTGAATCACCACATAAGTGCAGAGGAGAATTTCCCATAACACATAAAATGTGAGCACATTCACTTTTACACATGCACATAAAACACATTCACTATAACACATGGGCATAAGCACATTCATTTTAACACATGCATATAAACACTTTCATTTGGCATATTCACATGAGCACATTCACTTTTACACATGCACATTGACACATTCATTTGGCATATTCACCTGTTTACATGCACATAAGCACATTCACATGGAACATTAACTTTTCTCTCCCTCTTTTATCAGGGTGTCTGTGTATGGTGAGAAAGTAGAAAGAGGAATTGAGATAGGAGAAGAGAGCAAAGATATGAGGGTAGGGTTTACCAATTCATTTCTCATTTTGAAGAGAATAGACCAAAGAATCCAATGCTATAATACATTTTAAAAGTGGTCTCTATCTTAATATATGTTAATTTGATGTAGCTAGGTTGGTATAAAGTGGTTATGGTGGTTATTTACCAAAACTTTTAACTTATGCTTATTGGATAGAAAAAAAATTTTAGTATGAATATTTGATGTCATGTGTGTAGGGTGTCCACTTGAACGGTATGAGAATATTTTATATTCATATGTAGCTTCCCATAGCTTAAGATATCCATTGAGACCCTTCAGTACATGTTTTTGGCATGAAACTAGGGTTTGAGTTGATATACTTGTATTTGGAAGTGGTTGCCTTGATTGGCATTAATTCTTGGTATGGTAAATGCGGGACTTTAAGTTGAATAAAAATATTATATTCCATTCATTTGGAGTTTCTCATAGTCCAAAGGGACTCATAAACCTTTTAGTAGATTATTCCAACATGAAATTAGGGTTTGACTTGATGTGGTTGTTTGGAGTGTTCACTATTGGGTAGCATCAATTTTGATATGTGACATTTCTATTATCCATTTAAATATTTAAGGGTCATGCTTCAATCATTTGGAGCCTTAGTAGCCAAGGGAATCCATAAAACTCTCTGATGTGCTATTAAGACATGAAACTAAGGTTGTGGTCAATGCACTCATGCCAAAGACTGGTGCACCTGTCAAAATCAATTTTTGATTTAGCACATGTAAAATATCTTTTTGAATTTATGGGACCATATTTCATTGATAAATAGCTTCCCATAGCTAAAAAAGTTCAAAAGAAACTTTACTACGCACTTTAAGCCCAAAATCAAGGTTTGACTTGGAGTAGTCGTACCCAGAAGTTGTCAACATTGATTGGCACTGGTTTTTCATTTGACACTGTTGACCTCACTTTTTGTTGAGGTCTAGTCTTTCTTCCTTAGAAGCCTAGGATCTAGTCATAGGACTTTCCTGTTGAATATCCTAGATTACTAGTGATGGAACCCTACCCCACTAGAAATTCTAGATATCTCTTTACTCTTCTTGGAGTTCCACATATTTGGTTCTAACCTTTAGCACTTAGTAGGATGGAGCCAAGCATGAGGGAGCTCAAGAGGAGTCCCCATAGGGTTGTCTTGCTTTAGAGTTAGCCTTGGGTGGTGTGGTTTTGGTCAATCTTGCACACACACACTTGAACCCCTCACTTTCACTCACAACCTAAAACCCGTAACCAATCATGCTTAGCTTGATCCCCTACTCTTTTGGAAACTCATGTGGGTGGTCCCCCAAACCCTTAGCCCCTAGCTAGGATGGCTAGGACCAACACATAGGATCCAAGATAGAGATTACATTTGTCTCATGGCACTATAAGGGTAATTTTGCAGTTGCTCTCGTCATTAAACCCCAATTCTACCCAAAACACCCAATTTTGGCCTTTTGCCCCAAACTTCTCTAAAATTACAAAATTGCCCCTGATACACCTAAAATATATAGCATTTTTGTATACATTTTTATACATATTTTTGAGGATATTGCGCTTTATTGAAAGTTATTTGAGTGTTTTTCTTTCAAGTTCAATTAAATGGATGAAATATGATGAACGGAGTGAAAAATGATCAAATTTGGAACAAAAATGAGTGTGTGAATTTGAACTGTGGTGCCTAAGCGCTAGGAGACAGAGAAGGTCGCGCCTAAGCGCTAAAGACCTCGTGCTTACGCGTCAGGTAGTTAATGATAAAATTCAAGGAATTTTGGATGAATTTCAAAGGGGCGTTTAAAGCAACTCTTGGTTAAAACGTGGATTACAGTTAATAGGCACAAAAATACATTGAAATGGCTATTAAAAAAAGGCAACTCTTGGAAGATTCATTGAATTTGGACACATTTAAAGGAAGAGGCTTTCTAACTTCAGGATGTAGCACATAACATTGCTTGATTAAATGCCCGAACATTCTACAATTGCTACAATAGTGGGAGTTTTGTTCCACAACAACTTTCTGTCAATAGGCATTATATGTCAAGCGAATCCAAACTTCCCCCACAATAGGTTGTGTAAAATTCATTTCCACTAGAACTCTAGTTGTCGAAGGCCTTGTAAGATTATATGTAGGTATATTCATTTTCATAGGTCTTCCAAAGATAGCACCAAAAGAGAAAAATATTTCATGATTGAAAAGAAACAGTTTCAACTAGAGAAGTGAAACCGTATAAGAATGATAGGTGGTTCAATTTGAGGATCAAAATCAAGAGACCATTTAAGAAGCTTCATATTCTTGTTTTCAATTTTAAGATATTTTTTTAGCAAAAATCCAAGCATAATCTTCCTCCCCTCTCAACTGAATCAATATATGTCGCCCATCTAACAATCCAACCTATGCTCTCTCAAGTAATTTCAAGCATTCAAATGATTTCCGAATTATTTCCATCTTAGGATGGCCATAAGAAAATTTCCCCACCAATGAAAATTTACACGACACAGACAACATAAAAGTATCTGATTCAGATAGAGAAATCGCAGGTTTACCATTTTTCTTACCACAATTTTTCACAAAGGGTTGAGCACAATTACCTTCCAATTTATCGTGATAAGCTTGTGGAATGACAAAGTTTTTAGAATCAAACACTGAAGTTGCCGACCATTGAGCGACAAGCTTAGCAAACAAAGGCCTCTCCATAAAGAAGCCAAGAAAAAAGTAAAACACCAAGGGCGGTGACCACCCTCGTCCAAAATCACACTAAAACAGGTAGAAAATACAAACAATTGAAAACCCACAAAACCAAAAAACACACAGTTACAACAACACTGCAGCAAAATAATCACAAAAAGAAAGAAAGCAAGATAAGAAGGAATGGGTAAACCAAATCGAACACAACTGAAAGTGAGACTAAACAAATAGTCGAACAACTTACAAAAACCAAGAATTTCACAGCTAAAACAAAA